GCGTTCCAAAATAATCCTAAATATTGGTCAAATTTTAAAAAAAAAGATTTTCGTGATGAGCGACCCAAAATTAGTCAAAATCACGCGGGGAACACAATTGCAAGCCAAATTACCAAGTTACTTTTTTTTGTATCTGAGTTTTGTGTGTTTTGTCAAGGACTGACACTTTAAGGATTAAGAAAAAAACAACTGTACGCCTAAACGGAACTTCTCTCGTTGACAAACTTTCATGAGTTCAACGATGACCCAGATCTAGTGTCCGTCGGTTAAACTGTCAGTTTGCCGATGAATGAACTGCTCGTCTAAAGGGGGCCTTAACAGACACCGTTGGAGACCTTCAAGAACAGGATGTGCCCCTAAGTACTATCAATAGGGCTTGAGAATTGACTATTTGAATTTTTCTTTGCAATTTAAAAAAAATCTTTTTTTCTTTTTGGGGAGAGGGAAAGATTGATAGATAAAGGAAAATTATAGGGAGTCAAAAGACGAACAAACAGGGTAAGCACATCTCTGTTGTCAAATCGTGACAAAACGAGGGCATAATATGACAGTCCCACACACGCGCGCACGCGTGCATACACACACACACACACACACACACACACACACACACACACACACACACACACACACACACACACACACACACCCTGGGCATTTGAAGAGAAAAGAGGGAATTAAGAAGGACTGGTGTGCAACAGCTGTGAACGGAATTTTATCGAGAAACCAATGAAAGCTTCGAAATCTGCGGTAACGAAAATATACGAATGGCGTAAATCTTTGACTTTGATTTTTTAAATTTTTGAAAGGGATCGCGAAATGACTGAAACTCTCATCGTCCGCCGAACGTCCTGGCTAGTGGCTAGCAAACTCGGGGGGTAATGAGAGGGGTCCTATGGCTAGTAGCTAGCAAACTTGGGTAGCAAACTTGGGGGCAATGAGAGGGGTCGTACACAAGCATGTGCCAGGCAGTGAAGAAACGCTTAAAACCTAAACAAAATCAAATAATGATGTATTTATCAAGCCCTTCAATGGCTTTGTATTATTATTATCATATTATTATTATTA